TGTGTGTGTGCACAAAAGCACCCTCAGCCTGGAGGAAGCCTTTGTAAATACACCAACACACAGACATGCACATTCAGTGAGTCTTATTCATTGCAAGTCAAGTGTTTACTCATATTAGCCATCACTAACTGAACATGTTTGGCTTGAGCCTATAACCACACACACACACACACACACACGAACCACACACACACATACATCCCATCGGCTGAAAACATGGTGCCAGTGCCCATGGCATAAACACAACCTTTGCCACTTTCTTAAGCTGTTATCTACCCTCACTGTCTGTCTCCCTCTGTTCATGTCTCTTTCTCGATGTGAATTGGGCCTTTTATTGTAATGTAACATGATTTAATTTACAACTATAATGCACTGATGCCTGCAAATATTTTTGTTTCTCTTACAACCCTGCCAAAGGAAGTTCAGAAGGCGAAATACACGTCTATTTGACTGCATGAGTCTATTTGACTGCATGAGTCTATTTGGAGTCATGCAGAATGACACATCAGTCTATTTAATGATTAATGCTATAGGGGACTGGATATGGATGCCTCAAAAAGCTCAAAAAATATGTATACTAGAGGGTTAGGGCCACTGAACATATATATAAACTTGGCACAAAATGTAAGGAAATTTGTGTTTGGTGATTATTTCTTTGTCGTAACTTTGCTTCTTCTTTGACACATTTGTAAACATATTTAAGTGTTGAGCAGCAGAGATGAGCAGTAGAGTTGAGAATGTGGGTTGCACCCAGAGGAAACACCAAATCTTCTATGCCAATGCCAAACAGCTTATTGACTTTTGATTAGTGTATTTTATTAGCTTGGATGATTAAAGTCTGAATTCTTGCTTCAGTCTCCAAATTCAGATATTTTTCCCTCCAAATTCTGATTTAGATCTGAGAATACTGAATAATTTCAAAATTTTTAGTTTTTTAACTTGAGGTAGTCAGAATTCAGTGCAAAGGTCATGTATGCTCCTTTTTTGCTGCTATGTAAATCAGTCGTGAAGGTGAACATGATCATGATCATAATTCTTTCCTAATATCCCCCAAAACAGCTTATGTTGCCTAATCCTAACCACTTCTTTGCTAAAGGGCTAACACATTAGAAAGCACTCCACTAATATGCAAACTCAGTTTTAACTTGACATTTAAATGAATTGGAAACCGAATAAAATCCACTAGAATAGATGTGAAAAGCTAACAAACACAAACTTCTTCTGTTTCACAAGCTGCAGGGAGTGTGTGTGGCTGGGTGTCTGTGCGGCTGTGTGCATAAGTGGCTGTTTGTCTCTGTGCCCTTGCGAATCTGACTGCCAGTCTGTCTGTGTGTCTGTGTTATAGATGAGAAGTGACAAGAGTTCACTCCCTCTGGATTATTCACCATATGGGTGAAAGAGCTTGTACCTGGTGCTGAGCAGCCTCAGAGACACATGCACACACACACACACACACACACACACACATAGATACTACGGTCCACACTTGGCTGGCACTTACCTGAGAGGTCATTAGTTAAGGCTCAGTAATTCAACAGGCTGTGTTCATGTGTGCATGCGCGATATGAATATGAATGAGACTCAAGCTCAGCAGTTTTCAAACTCTTCCTGTCACACAGAAAAAAATGTGTACCCCATACCCCACCCACATTTTTAATAATCATTAACAATTAAAAAAAAAAAAAGACCCACATTCAATTTTAGTAACTTAAAGATCAGATTGGAAAATAAATGTTCATACATACCTTACTTCTTCATTTTTGAAAAAAAATACAGAGTGAAGGATTCAGGCAAAAAAAAAAAAATCTATTCCATTTGTTCAGCATTTACAGGGTCAGAAAACTAAACTACCACATGACAATTACTGTACTCCAGGATGTAACATTTGGGCTGAATTAATACAAGCTGAATGAATATTTTGCTTTACACTGTAACAAAAAGAAAAAAAAAACAAAACAGGGGGAAAAGCCTGTGGAAAATCTCACTATACTTCACTCAGATTCGGCACTACAGGCAATACTTTCCATGCTGTCGAGTTAAAGACGACAGTGAATGTGATGTGAATAAACTTTCATGACCTGACCCGCAAAAAAGCATTTGTTTCTTCTATTGAACTTTTCTTGTTTGGAGAATGTTAGAAAATATTGTGAAGCAAACTTGTGTGTATTTACACAGATATATGTTCAGATTACACAGGAGTACCATACACCTTTGGATACTGAAGATGAATGACAAAACGTGCTGGGAAAGAAGTTTTCCTTTCACGCATACAGAACAATTTATAAAACAATTCATTTATATTATAAGCGCAGAGTTTGTGACAGTTTGTTTGAAGAGTTTTATAGACTATGTTTGCTTTTATAAGAGATAATATAATGTGTTGTGGTTTGGTATAATATTTCATGAGT